GCTCGTCGTCGGCACGCGCCCGCCAGGAAGCGTCCCCGGATTGCGCCCGGAGCCCCCCGAGCTCCGCGCTGAGCTGCTCGTTCTGCTCCTCTAGCGCTTTGACCCGGGCCAGGTAGGCCTCCAGGCGCCTGTTGAGCTCCCACATCTGAAAGGATTCCTCCCCCATGCAGCCCTCCATCCTGCTCGCCTGACCCACTGAGGGTGGACAGACGCGGGCCACCGGGAGAAGGGAGCGGCTCTCGGAGCCTTTAGGACGAAAGGGAAAAGAGACCGCCGGGGACAATGACAGGGCGGGGCGGGGCGGGGAGTAGCCCGAGCGTCTGAGAGTCGGGAGTGGGAGCGGGACTATTCATACTCCCGCCAGCCGGGCGGGAAAAGGGGCGGGACCCCGGCCTTAACCCCTTAGAGCTCAGAGAAACGGCGGCGGCCTTTCCCCCTGCGTCCCCAGGGGGCTGGAGAGTGGCGCCAAAGGAGGGGCCGTGCCCTGAAGAATCCGACCTGATGCGGCGGCTTTCTGAGGGAGGGGGCGGAGAGGAAGGGTCATAACCCTCACAACAGCCGGTGATGAACAGGACTCAGCCCGTGGAAGGGATGCCCGGAGGATCCGGCCTGGAGGGGGTTCGAGTCTCAGTTACTCAGCGCACCCAAGCAAGCTGCCACTCATGAATTCTCCTGAGACTCAGTTTCCTCATCGATAAAATGGGCGCAGTGCTGGAAATCTCTTGGGCTGCTGAAAGGTTGGATGTAGCCATGGTTTTTTGTAAGTAACAAATTTTCACTCTCTGCAATACTGAAGGGACACAGCATTGCAGAGAGAAGCTGGGAGACACTGCCGGAAAACAAGAACAAATATCTGATATCCGGGCTGGTCGCGGTGGCTCCGCTTGTAATTCCAGCACTTTGGGAAGCCGGGGGAGAGAATCGCTTGAGCTCAGGAGTTCGAGACAAGTCTGGGCAACATAGTGAGACCTCGGCTCTACCAAAAAAACTGTATGTATATATACATGCATACATACACACATACACACTACATATATGCACACATATACACACTATACACATGTAGAGTATATGTGTACATATACATTCAGAGGTTGCCAACAAAAGACACACATTTTAAGAAAGGAAAAAACTAGCTGGACTCGGTGGCTCAGCCTGTAATCCCGCGCCTTTGGGAGGCTGAGGTGAGTGGATTGCCTGAGCCCGCGGGTTCAAGACCCGCCTGGGCAGCGAGACCTCATCTCTACAATAAATCAAAAAATCAGCCGGGCGTGGTAGCGCGAGCCTGTAGTTCTGGCTACTGGGAAGGCTGAGGCGGAAGGATCGCGGGAGCCCAGCAGGTGGAGGCTGCGGTGGCCGGGAGCCGCCACTGCACTCCAGTCTGGGTGACGGAGTGAGACTCCAACTCAAAAAGAAAGGAAAAAACTGTGTTAAAATTGTAATACTAAACACATCCTGGTAACAAAAGATGAACACAAACCACGTTTGACTACTGCGATTACAAGAGGTGCCCAGAGTGGTTACCATCAGCGTCTAGACACTTACAGTGCACTAAAAGCCATACACCTATAATCCCAGCATTTTGGGAGGCCAAGGCGAGTGGATTGCCCGAGCCTGCGGGTTCGAGGGGAGCCCAGGCAAGTGAGTGAGACCTCATCTCTACAATAAATCAAACATTAGCCGGGCGTGGCCCAGCGGGTCGACACCGGGGTGGCCGTGATTGTGCCACAGCACTCCAGCCTGGACGACAGCATGAGACTCCAACTCAAAAAAAAATAATTAATTAATTAAATACAAGTAATACACCGCTGACTTCTCTTAAAGTGTGTATACATTTCTTTGTGGCACCCCCCCCCCCCATCTATAGACAAGCTGGTGGCACGCGCCTGTAGTCCCAGCTACTCAGGAGGCTGAGGTGGAAGGATCGCCTGAGCCCCGAAGGTCGAGTCTGCGGCGAGCCATGATCACAGCCACTGCACTCCATCCTGGGCGACAGAGAGACTGGCGCGCGCGCACACCCCCCCCCATATTGGGACCCGCACACCCGAGTATCCAGCCAGGCGAGGGGGTGTCATGGGCTCGGGGATGGTTTCCCCTCCACCCTCCGTCCTTCCCACAGCTCTTCCACGTGACTACGGGGGTTCACCCACCCACCGTAGGAAGTCCTCCAGCTCCAGGAAGGCGCCCCCTCCTATCCCCGCCAGAGATTTTTTTTGGGTGGAGGGCGCCCCCTGGTGGCGCACAGATCGAGTCCCCACGAGGAAGCCCATCCGAGACGCAGCTCTTGTTTTCTCAACGACGGGCCCAAGTTTACGGAGCCTTTGTAACGTTCCAAATCCTGTTCTAACATTTGACTTGCATTTTCTGGCTTCATCTGCAAAACGGCCTTTTCGGGAGCGGAGCTGAGCGCTCACCAAAGGTGGGAGAAGTAGGGAAGGCTTTCGGGGGGGGGGGCATCCTTGAGCTGGACAGGTAGGATTTGGGGTACGGAGAGTCAAGGGGAGAGACTCGGGGATGATGAGACAGAGGGGGTCTTTGAGGAGGGAATGTCTGCTCGCGTCAAGTCAGTTTAGTTCACGTGTGGACTGGGCACCTACGGCGTGTCAGCCCGCGAGACGGTGGTGCTCCGGCCCAGCCCTGGAAATGCTCATGGTTTGCTGATGGGAGGCCAGCAGCAATGGAGTGCGTTGTCTGATGGTGGAAGTAAACGTAGTAAGAAGGTCACAATACTTAATCAGCCCAAGGTGCTGGGGACCAAGAGCTGGGGGGGCGCAGAGGATGCAGGGGGCTTTCTGGGTCGAGTGTACAGCAGCGTCAGAGACCTGGAAGCCATTCCCCCGAGAGCCCGCCGCTTGAGGAGTCTGGCTCCACCCCCTCCCTGTCCCTAGGCCTAAGGGGCTTTGGAAATGGCGGCCAGGGAGGGGCCAGCGACGTGGCCGCGAGGGGCTTGATTGAGAGTCGGGCAGCGGGGCATCTGGGACGTTGACTTCGCCACCCTCACGTCCCCTCCCAAATGCTGCGTTCGGTTTGGACTGGGGGCGTCAGGAGAGCTGGCTTGGAATTTCGTTCTCTCTTTCACTTCCTGGCTGGGAGGAGAGGGATGCTGAATATTTGAGATCCCCTGGGATCCTTCGGGGGCCCCTTGGACAGCTGAGCCCCTCACCCTCACCCGGAGAGGAGACACTTGGTTCTGTGACTCATGCACAGAGCAGTGGCTTCGACTCTTGCGTTTTCTAGCCAAATGACTTTGGACAAGTTACATAACTTCTCTAAGAAAGATTCAGTTTACCTGTTTGGTAAAGGCGGTCATCACATACCCATCCCCTTAAGTTTGTTCTGAGAATCCAATGAAGCCAGGTGTGGGGAGGTCTTTGTACAAAGCCATTTTTGAGGACCATCACAATGAAAGCCATTAAGCTAGAGGAAATCTCCCCTGAACCACTCTTAGGGAGTCTGGGGAGCCGTGGAGAGCAGAGATGGCTAAGAACTCTGGGGCAAAGTGTGGTGTTGTTTTCAAGACAGGAGAAGACAAGTTCCGGTTCCCCCAGCCTGTGGGGCTGACTTCTGTGCTCACCAGATTCTAAACAGATAACTGATCTTTGAAGCACTGAGTGAAACTGAGGCCCTTACTTGGGGTTGGCAGGCACTCGGGAGAACAGGGTGGGCCTCTTTCCCTGGCAGGGCATTCATTACCCGGATTTTTGTGGGCCTTTGGCTGCACCTCTCATCATGTCTCTGGAGCCAGGACCTATGGGCTATGTGACACCACAGTGGGTACCAGTGTCAAAGTCACTCCAGCAGGCATCTCGGATGCCCATGAACAAGCTGAGGAGGTTCTGTGGAGGCAGGGAGCCCCCCCCCAGCCTAATAAAATGAAGGCCTTTCCAGGATAGAGAAGGGGCCCTCTTAGTGCAGTGAGATAAAAGCCTTCCCAGAAGCCGGGCTCGGCGGCTCAGCCTGTAATCCTGTGCCTTTGGGAGGCCGAGGTGAGTGGATTGCCTGAGCCCGTGGGTTCGAGACCCGCCTGGGCGGCAAAACCTCATCTCTACAATAAATCAAAAAATCAGCCGGGCGTGGTAGCACACGCCTGTAATTCCGGCTACTTGGAAGGCTGAAGCGGAAGGATCGCCGGAGCCCAGCAGGTCGAGACTGCGGTGGCTGGGAGCGGCCACTGCACTCCAGTCTGGGCAACAGAGTGAGACTCCAACTCAAATAAATAAATAAATAAAAGCCTTCCCAGAATAATGAAAGAGTCCTTCTAGCACCATATGGTAAGAACTTTCTTGGAAGATTTTTGTTAGAAAGGAATGTAGCCCCCAGTCAGCAGTGCGCATGTGTAACTCCACTGCAACCTTGAGCTGTGAAATACCCAATTAAATGTATGTTACTTATATGTAAACCTTATCAGGGGGAGAAAGAAACTAAACATGCATAAAAAGCAATGCCACCTTGTGCTTGGGGCTCAGCCTTTGGATGTAAATCCGCTGAGCCCATGTTGGCACGAATAAACACTGCTTCCTGGTAAACTAGTCTCAGTGTGGCGTCTCTCTCTGTAAAATCCGGCCACACTGTGAGTTGCCCGAGGGACTTCTGTCCTTGGTTCTGACTATTAAAAGTTTTTTATTAAAGGCTGGGCATGGTGGCACAAGCCTGTAATCCCAGCACTTTGGGAGGTAGAGTCGGGAGGATCAGTTGAGCCCAGGAGTTTGAGACCAGCCTGGGCAACATAGCAAGATTCTGTTTCTGTTTTAAAAAAACAATTTTTTTCTTTTGAGTCCAGAGTCTTACTCTGTCACCCAGGCTGGAGGGCAGTGACATGATCACAGCTTACTGTAGCCTTGACCTCCTGAGTTCAGGTGATCTTTCCGCCTCAGCCTCCAAAGTAGCTGGGATTACAGGTATGCGCCATCACACCTGACTAATTAAAAAAATTTTTTTTTTTTTTTGTGCAGAGACAAGGTCTTGCTGTGTTGCCCAGGCTGGTCTTGATCTCCTGGGCTCAAGCATGAGCCAAACGAAATTTTATTAAAGACTTGAATGAAGCCAAGCATGGTGACTCATGCCTGTAATCCCAGTACTTTGGGAGGCCAAAGCAAGAGGATTGCCTAAGTCCAAGGGTTCGAGACCAGCCTGGGCAACTTGGTGAGAACTTGCCTCTACAATAAATAAATAAATAAA